AGCAGGTGGAGTGTCAGGCAGATGGAGAGGGAGAAGCAGGCTCCCCGCTGAGGAAGGAGCCCAATGTAGGGCTCGATCCCAGGACCTTGGGATCATGACCTGAGCCAAAGGTAGCCGCTTAACTGACTGAGCCACCCAGGCGCCCCTAGCTGACTTCTTTTTAAGTGAAAATTACACTTATAAGCTCAGCAGTTCATATAAGTTTCTAGAAGAGGGGAATATTTTTGTTTTCTACCTTTGGGACATTAACTATAAACGGTGGCTCCATGATAACCAAAGGTAAGTTCGCAAGTTGATGCAGCAAAATGACCTGATAAGCAGACCACTGGTTTATTTAGGGTATTGGTGGTAAAAATAGAGTGGATTCCTTTTTACTCATCTGTGATTACTCTGTCCTGGAGTGAAGTAGTACAGCACCCAGGTCTAACTAATCTTAGGAAACCTACATAATTGGAGGGAAACATATAGAGCTGTTAATGTGGAATCAGCTGGCAGGCCCGAGAATGGATGCCATTAGTGACCAGGTTGCTGAAATGAAAGGTTGGGACAGATTAAGTCTGGGTTGATGTAACTGGCTCCCCCAGAATTGGTGGTTCAGGGAAAATTGAAGTTTGCTGTTAGTATTTTTTTTCATATATGTTTGAGGAGATACCTAATATTCTGTGCCGAAGGAGAGCCCATTTATTATCATTTCTAAAATGCTTTATTTCTATTGTAAAAACAAATAATAAAGTTCTAGAGACAAGGACTGTGCTAAGCTCTGGGAGTCCAAGATGGAGAAGATACTCTCCATGCCCTCAAAGAAATGCATATTCCAGTAGTGGGAAAGATTTATACATCAAGAAGTACAAGAAAATGTGGCTCTTGTTTAATCATAGGGGTACTATTACCCCAATATTACTGTTGTGGAATTCTCTTGGAAACTTGTCAAAGCAGTGGTTAGGTAATGAATGTTCCTCATTTGGGTGGGACCCTTTCAGTATTAATGCAACTATGGATTACTGCACTGTGACCGTTAACTCAATAACAGAGGCTGACTGAGTGCCTCCTGTGTGAGAAGACTGGGCTAGGTGCTGGGACACACCAGGCCAGTGACATACAGGTCTGCCCTTGGTGAGCCTGGAACCCAGGAGGTGAGACAGACCAACAGGTGCTGAAGAGAGTCATGGAGTGCAGTGACAGCACAGCATGGGGAGAGCAGTGTAGAAGGCACTTTGGTACTGGGCATGGGGCAGAATGAAGCAGGGTCAGTGGGTGTATACTGGTGAGTGAACCTGCAGAGGTAGGGAAGGTAACATTTGACATGGGACGTACAAGGATGGTTAAGATTTTTTCCAGTAGAAACACATCAGATGCACAGGGGACAATAAGAGAATGGTAAATGTGACCAGAGATTGGGAAGTACAGCACTGCCCAAGATGGGGCTGAGAAAGCATTGTGGGAACCTATTGTGAAGGGATTTGGGTGCGATTCAAAAGGAATAAAGAAATGATCATGTTTTCAAGCTGGCTAATGACATGGTATCTCTACTTCAGAAAGATAGAAAACTAGTTTGGAGAAGGTTATCATCTTCCAAACAGGAGATGATGAGGCCTTGAAGAAGCCCAGAAAGGAGACATGAGACACCCTACAAAAAGAGTTAAAATAAGAACAAAGGATTGGAGGCATTGAAGACCACTCAGGATTCTGTCTGGGGTGACTAAGTGGGTGGTCAGCTCTGAAGGGGAAGCAGGGCAGGAAGTGATGAGCTTATTTTTAGGCATAACAAGAAGTTGGAGACCCTACCTTTTTGCAAGGCTTCAGTATGAAGATAACTAGCAAGTAGCTGGAGATAGAGATCTTGGTATAGTTGAGAGGTCAGATGTTTCGAATTAGATAGAGATCTATAAAGCAGCTTATAAGAGGTAATTGAAGCCCTAGGACTGAGTACATTACTGAGAAGAAGGAAGAGTGAGATGTGAAATTGGTAGAAACAAGTGCTTGGGAATAGCCAAAACAAGGTAAGATGTGGGAGGAAGTTGAAGGTATCGCTTAGGTCAGTGGTTCTCAAACTTCCGGCCTGCTTAGCATCAGCGGATTGCTGGCTCTCGACCCCAGTTTCTGATTCAGAGCATGTGTATTTCTCACAAGTTTTCAGGTAGTGCTCATGCTGCTGGTCCAGACTTAAACTTTGAGAACTCCTGGCTTAGAGTTTGAAAAGGTTAATCATGGGCGGCAGGCCAGAGAGGGAGGCTAGGAGAATCCAGGAAGGGACTGAAGGACTCTGAGAATAAATACAGTGGTGCCAGGGCAGGGTTACAAATGAAGACAGCGCAGGTTCACTGGCTGTGAAACTTGGGATAAGTCAAAGGACAGAATCTTGAGTTCAGAGAGAATTCCAGATTTTAAAAAGCTTTGGAACTGGAGCTTTCAGGTAATGTCTATTGCATGGCCCAGAGCAAGCCTTTTCAAAGTATTGGTCTTCCAAGAGATACAGAGCTTGTATCTGAATATAGCTCAGTGTACTACTTCCTGATTTGAGAAAGTCTTGTTGTCCTTCTCCCCTAAAAAAAAAAAAAAGGTCAAAGTTGTGTATAGTCATGTAGCTGGGTATAGTCACATAGTTGATTTGCATTCTGGCACAAGCTCAGTTCATAGACTGGCTCCGTTCACAGACCTGAACAGGTGCACAGACCACACTTGGAGTGTCACTGGCCTAGAGTATGGACTCTGGGGTGGGGTATTAGTTAGAGGTCCCTGAGGATGAAGGATGTTGGGAAAGTGAGTCCAGGATATTTTTTGGACGGTGAGAAGAGTTCTTCAGAAATACAAAAAATAATTTTTTTTTTTAAGATTTTATTTATTTATTTGAGAGAGAGTGAGCAAGAGAGAAAGCACAAACTGGGGGAGAGGCAGTGGGAAAGGGAGAAGCAGATTCCCTGCTGAGTGGGGAGCCTGATGTGGGGCTCGATCCCAGGACCCCGGGATCATGACCTGAACCAAAGGCAGATGCTTAACTGACTGAGCCACCCGGGCGCCCCCAAAAAAGAATTTCTGGACACTGATTGGTGATCACAGGACCAGAATGGGAAGAGGACAGGAGAGCCACATGGCCTAGGATCAGAGACTAAGGCCTACTGAATGATGGTCTCAAGCTACAGTTGGGAGCAAGGATGATAAGTGTGTCATCCTATCAAGTCCTTAGGTGGGATGAGGGATTGTGAGAAGGGATGATCTTCACTCAACAGGGACACTAGTGATAACCTTACTGGTCTGTGTTCTGTAATCTTTTTGAGCAGATTATGTGTGGGCATTTTTTTTTCTTTTCAAATTTTTATTTAAATTCTTTAGTTAACATGTAGTATAATATTGATTTCAGGAGTAGAATTTAGTGATTCATCACTTACATATAACATCCAGTGCTCATCATAACAAGTGCCCTCCTCCTTAAGACCCATCACCCATTTAGCCCATCCCCTACCCACCTCCCTCTATCAACCCTCAGCTTGTTCTCTATCATTAAGAGTCTTTTATGGTTTGTTTCCCTCTTTGTTTCACACCCCTCCGCCCAATCCCATATGTTCATCTGTTTTGTTGTTGTTGTTTCTAAGTTTTATTTACTTGAGAGAGAGGGTGTGAGTGAGCAGGGGTTGTTGGGAGAGAATCCCAAGCAGATTCCTCGCCCAGCGAGGAGCCTGACATGGGGCTCGATCTTAAGACCTCAAGATCATGACTTGAGCCAAAATCCAGAGTTGGATGCTCAACTCACTGTATCACCCAGGTGCTCCTCATGTGTTTTCTTAAATTCCACATATGAATGAAATCATATGGTATTTGTCTTACTTTGACTTATAATACACCGTGGCTCCATCCACATCATTGCAAATGGCAAGATTTCATTCTTTTTGATGGCTGACTAGTATTCCGTGTGTGTGTGTGTGTGTGTGTGTAAGTGTGTAAATAGGCATTTTTAAGCCTTGTTTCCACAGAGGCTGCTCAAGAACAAAATTTCTCTTGGTTAATGGGTATAATCAAGCAGTGCACTGACAGGCAGAGGCATTCTTAGGGTCCCTTTTACTAGATGAGGGAGAAATTGGGAACTGAAAACACGGAGGACACACTGGCTAAGCCATTGTTAGGGCAAAACTTTCTTGTGAGAAGCATACATTAGACCATTTAAATATTTTTTTTATTTTCTGTGGTAACTATTTCCATAAGCTAACCTCAATTATTTAAGTCTAAGCATCTTTCCATAAATGTATGATGAATCCTACCTCATCTGTTTGGTAATCGCATGAAAATTTTAATTATGATTTCCTGAAGCATCTTTACCTAGTAAATAAAAACATTTCCATAGGAAAATAAAATTTGTTCTCTTATGTAACATTCTTCCCCTATTTAATATCCAACTTAATACCCGTCGTCAAAGACTAGAGGGGCTGTTGAAGGAGGGCCTCAAGCTACAGGAAGGGGCAGTAGAGAAAGGAGGCAGAGGAAAACAGTGGTTGAGAGCACGGGCTCTGGGCAAACTCAGAGTCCTGTGATGGCATTACCCCTTCCAGACTCTGACCTTGGCCACGTTAGTGAGTCTGAGGCCTTGGTTTCCTCATGTTCAAAAACAGGATAACAGTATTTTGTGAAGTTGTTAGGATAAATGAGCTTTCTTATAGTAGTAAGTTAGGGTCTACTACATAATAAGCATGCCATCATTTTAACTGTTGTTATCATTAATATTATATTGTTATTAAGGGAAAGCCTAGTCCTTGAAGTCCTAAAAGTCTGTATTGGCATCTCCTTTGTCTTAGTTCAAGAAGTTATCTGACCTTGAATAAGCCATTTGGTATCTCTGTGTGGCCTTCTCATCAGTAAATTGGAGTGGTACCAACTACCACAGGGGTCATCGTGAAAAATAAATGATTTACGTATATAACATGTTCGGTGTAGACCTGTGACATAGTCTTTGCCAGCAAATGTTTGCCTTTTTTTCCTGCTTTTAAGCTTTAGGTTTCTTTGCTTTCTAGTCAGGCCTTGAAAAGAGCATAGACCAGGCTGTGGAAGAGTGGAACATTGAGAAGGCTGAGGAACTCAGCAACCAGCTAGCTACTCGAGAGGTGAGTCAACTGTAGTATTTCCAAGTTTTCTAAAATGAATGTACATTCTTTTTGTGACCATGAGTTAAGTTTGGTATTCAAATATTTGATCTTAGCTTTGTTTGTTTGTTTGTTTTTTAAGTAGGCTCCATGCCCAGTGTGGAGCCCAGTGTGGGGCTTGAACCTCACCACCCTGAGATCAAGACCTGAGCTGAGATCAAGAGTCGGATGCTTAACCGACTGAGCCACCCAGGCGCCCCTCAAATATTAGCTCTTAGATTTTCCTTTCTGCCCATTTTCTTCCCTCTCATGCTGCCATTTATTTTGAAGTGCTGGGTTTTATTTTTGTCTTTAATGTTTTTAAATTATTCTGGTCTAAAACTTATGGTGGAAATAATCCATGATTGATATTCAACCCTAGATTTCACCTAGTTCAGAGAGTTTTTTTGCCAGTTATGATTAAAAGACCAGCTTTCTTTTTCTATTTGCATCTTTAATTCAGTTTAACTCTCCCTGAAGGCAGCTGTGTGTTCTAATGTCACATCTCAAGGTTTTCCTTGCCCTCCCTTCCCCAAATGCTTTCTTACTGCATATTCTAAACTTTTCCCTCAGCCCTAAATAATGTTCAGCTTTTTAAAACTTATAGTCTACAATATAAAACTAATAGATACATTGAATATTCTTTTTCCAAGTACACAAGTCTTTCAGAAGATTCTGACTTGCACCTTTTGGGGGGGGGGGTGGATATTTCTCCCATTGCTGCTGGGTGTCACTAGGCAAAGTCACACGTAGAATAAAGAGCTCATATCGGCATTGTTGTGTTGTTGTTGTTCTTGTGTTTTGTGATTCCTTTTTGTCCGTTTTAGGGAACAAGTTCTACCATAGCTTTCTTAGTGTATCCCTATGTTCTTCACCTTACTCTTAAACTAGGCTCCCTGGGGTTTAATTACATGGAGACACTGTCAGTCGTCTGTGCAAATAGCTGGCCACGTGCCGTGTTCTTTCTTACTCACCTGTAGGTGAGCTTTTGTTTTAAACTGAGACTAGTGACGAACTTAACTATTTCAGTATATTCTTCTGTGGAAGCACCATTTTGCTCTTCATCTACTGATGACAAAAAAGTCCACTATTGATTGCTGTTTGTTGGTTTGTTCCCTATTTTTGGGTGCTGTCCATAAGTATCTTGGGAGGTGTATGTTTTTATGTAGGGAAATCAACAAGTCCAGAAGTGAGGCTTTGGGATTCAGAAGTTATCTTTTTTCCCACAAGCCTTTAAGGTCAGTTGTCACAGTAAATACTTCTGTTTGTAACATGTCTGTGTATGTGTACTTATTTATTAAATGGCTAATCTACAGGAAATTATGAAGCTTGGAGCTTAAGTTTGGGCCTTAGGCAAGAAGCAGCACAAACAGCAGTTTCAAAAAGTGACATTAAAAAACAATTAATGTTTACTTTTTTCTTGTAAGATTCATTCTTCCCTTCCCAGCTTATGATATTTCTTATGCTTTAAGTTTGACATTTGTTCTCTTTCATCTTTAAAGTAGCCATATTTTGATTTTATTGATTATAACATTCATTGGATATAATAGCATTTTATCACTCTGTTTTCAAATAGAATGATTTAGATGTTACATTTTTTTAAAGATTTATTTGGTGAGAAAGCACACGTGTGCATAGGTGTGCAAGCGTGGCACGGGGGAGCCGGGGGAGAGGGAGAGGGAGAGAGAATCTTAAGCAGATTCTGCAGAGTCCCATGTGGGGCTTGATCTCATGACCTTAAGATCATGACCTGAGTCAAAACCAAGTTGGACACTTAATGACTGTGCCACCCAGGCACCCCTATTACATTTTAATAAAATGAATTTGATAGTATGTTGAATGGTACCACAACCTCGATAGGATTTAAGTATTGGTTGGCAGTTATTATAGTGGCTTCTTTAGCTTGGTATTTACCTGGCACTTATCTCTACAAATCAGCTTTGTGTTAAAGACCAGCTTTAAAATTCTCTTCAACAGGGCGCCTGGGTGGCTCAGTTGGTTAAGCGACTGCCTTCGGCTCAGGTCATGATCCTGGAATCCCAGGATCGAGTCCCACATCGGGCTCCCTGCTCAGCAGGGGGTCTGCTTCTCCCTCTGCCCTCTTCCCTCTCATGCTCTCTGTCTCTCATTCTCTCTCTCTCAAATAAATAAATAAAATCTTTAAAAAAAAAATTCTCTTCAACAGTAGAGCACTTAATGTTTATTGGTACTATTTTGGTACCTGGAACTTACTTTTCCATAGAACTGTTGTTAGAGGTAGTGGTTAAGTTTCTTGGGTAACCTCCAAGTATACACAGTATAGCAAATTATATCAGTATATCTCATCTTCAAATTTTGGGGAGTTGACCCTGAAATGTCAGAGAAGGGTGGGGAGGGACATGCTTTGGAGCTGGAAGAGAGTCCATTGAGTAAAGTAGATATGGCTGCAAGGATGGGGAGGGGTGGGCACATAGGACATATGATGGAGGTAGCGGCTGAAGGGATAAGTGGGCTTTCAGAATCTGAAAGGTGCATAGGGCAGCAATACCAGTCATTAGTTTTGGTCACATCTAAATAGGCAGGTGTGGAAGCTTTTGGCAGCTTTCTTGAATATCCACCTCATTTGGATCAGAAGCAAAACTTTCTGGAGAACCGGTCCTTAAATGTACCACTTAGGTCCATGTTGTGCCACATATTTGAGCAGGTGTCTCTTGAATTCCTTTAAAAATTGTGGGTATTTGTGACTGTTTGCTCTCCAGTAAATGCTGTACCATTAGCATGTGGCTGATCTCTGAGATGACTGTATAGTCCAGGAAAGCGAAGGATAGAAGCATAATAAAACCAGCAGGGCCTTAGGGTTTGGCTTCCTGATTGTTTTCAGTAACACTGTAGACTTCTTTGTCTTTACTTCTCCCTCAAGGATCATGGGACTCCACAAACTGATGTTCCCATGTCATTGTTTGTCCATTCTTCCTTTTGGAAGACCTGAGAGTTGTGTATTTTGTAATCTCTACCATATAACAAGGTGACTATGATTCAGCCAGAGGCTCCAGGTCAGTAAGTTTTCTCAGACGTTGGTTTAGTAACAAGAAAGAATAACGCAAGGCTTAGTCTGCAGCATTAAAATGTGGGCTCCACATGACCCATCCATGGCTGGCTGTTTTTCCTTTTGTCTTTTTCTGTTGATTAGCACCCCCATCTGAGGCAAGGGGAATTCGGAGAGAAGCATTTACTTTACTGCAGACTCTGTGTGTTTTCTAGGTAAAGTTAGTAATGCTGAAATTTTAAGAGTTGCATACATTTGATTTAAAAAAAAAGTTTTATTTTGAAATAATTTTAGACTTTCAGAAAGTTGCAAAGATTTTCTGTTTACCTTCACCTAGGTGCCCACGATGTTAACATTTAACATTTACTTTGCCATTCATTCTAATTTATATACCTCATTTGGAGTTGCCACATGTCTCACTGATTTCCTTTAAAGCAGAAAGAAGAGTTTCTTTTTCCAGGTCTAAGACATTGCATTTTGTTGTCAAGTCTCTTTATTCTTCTTTAATCTGGAAAGTTCCTCAGTCTGTCTTTATTTCTCAGCACGTTAGCGTTTTTGAGGAGTAAAGGCTAGTTATTTTGTAGGATGTCCTTCAATTTTGGTTTGTCTGCTATTTCGTCATGTATTTTTGGCAGGAATATCACAAAAATGATGCTGTGTCCTTCTCAATGCAAGATATCAGGAGGCACATGATTTCTGTTCTTCCCATTTATTAATGATGTTACTTTTGAGTTTTTGGTTTAAGGCAGTGTCCCCAGGTTTCTCCACACTATTATAATGTTACTGTTTTCCCATATGTAATTAATAAGTATCTCATGGAGAGATGGGAGATAATTTGAGACTATGTAAATATTCTCTCTGTCGTTATACTTTACCCACTAGTTTTAGCATCCACTGCTGATTCTTTTACTGTTTGCGACAGTTCTTATTGTGGTGGTTGCCAAACTAGATTTGTAAAATATTATTTAATTGTACTTTTCATCTTTACCTGGCAAACCAGACCTAAAATTTGTCTTAAATGAGATATTGGATTATATAATCTTTTATGTATATGTTAAATCTTGCAGTAAAACCTGGACAGTTGAGAATTGGATATAGTTTTTTTAAATGATGCACTGGGAGGGGATGGGGTCACCGTGGCCTTGTGCTCACCAGCAGTTGTATGTAACTCCATCCTTACCTGCTTCATCAGGAATCACTCGTGAGCTTTCCTTCCTCTGCCATTGGAAGCTGCATGTCAGAATGTACAGAAGTAGCTCCTTACCAGCCTCAGAGATGTGTGTTTTCTTTGAGGATATTAGGTTTCTTTTTTTATGTTTTGTTACACTGCTGTTGTAGAAATGTGAATTGCATGGCACTGACCAGGTATTTTCCATTTTAAAGAGTGTTATTTCCTATTACCTTTATGATGAATGAGATTGCTTCATCTATCTGGATTATCTTTCCATCTATTGCAGTAATCTTTCTGATTACTAATTTAATTAAGTAGGCAACACTTAGGTTGAATGTCACATTTTGGAAAGAGAATTTTTCTCTAGGCATCTTCACGTTAGTCCGCTGTAGATAAATGAAACCCCCTTGGTTTGGCATTACCTTTATGATGAATGAGATTGCTTCAGAAATAAAGGATATTTTCATCACTTGCAAGGATAGTAAACATTTTTCTCAAGTTTTTTTTTTTTTTTTTTTTTTTACTTCCGTACGAATATAATGCCTGATTGTAGTAAAATAAATTAAACTTATTTAGTGTGGGGTTAAAGAATTCTGATTAAAAGAAAAAATAAAATGTATTCTATCCTTTTCCTTGTATAAATGGCAAAACATCCGGAAAGTGTTTGCTGTTCAGACACAGACTTTGGAAAGATACTGATGCCGTGTTCATTAAACACCCGTGAAGAATAACTAAAGTAATCAAGATGGAATTCTTGAATAAATAGTTTAGTTTGAGATTTAATTT